GCTAACCAGGCCCCCAGCGACCGAACTAGCGGGACTAGGGAGACCACCGACGTACCCGCAGTGGGGCAGCGAAGTGGAACACAGGGACCCAACCCGGGAGGCCGCGCCTCCCAGGGTGGGGTCTGAGTGCGCGGCGCACCACTTACCTGGCTCCACGGCTGGGCAGGGGGCTCGTAAGGAGGCATAGCGTCCTTGAACCGAACCCTGCTGCCCATTGGCGAAGTTCCTGAAGCACACCTGGGTCAGCACCATCCTCGTGCAACTGCTTCAACGCTTTGGCTTGGTGGACTTGCAGGAGGGCCATGGCGTGCAGGGCGGAAACGGCCTGTCCAGCAGCACTGTAAGCCTTAGCCGTCAGAGCGGACGAGAACTTACAGGCCCTGGACGGAAGGCGTGGACTACCTCTCCAGGTGGCGGCGCTTTGTGGGCAGAGCTGAATGGCAATAGCGCGCTCGACCAGAGGGATGTCCACATACCCTTGGGCCGCCCCCCCGTCGAGGGTGGTAAGGACGGAGGAGGCACCAAGTCTGTTTCGGGCAGAAAAAGGTGCCTTCCAAGACTTAGTAACCTCCTCATGCACTTCCGGGGAGGAATGGAACTGGAGGCGGCTGCCGACGCCCGGCCTGCGCCCCCAGGAACCAATCATCCAGCCTCAAGCGTTCGGGAGAAGGCGGAGGCCTCCAGTGCAGCCCGACACTCTCGGCGGCCCGGGAAAGCATAGCGGTCAGCTCTGGATCTGACTCGGGCAACGCCACTCTTCCTGACGGTGGCAGCGCAGCCGAATCCTCATCTCCAGAGCCTAGCTCGCCCTCCGATGCAGCGATCAACATCCTGTCCTCTGCCTGTGTCCCGCACAAGATGCTGGACCCCGCCCTGTCCGAGGACCCAGCACACTCGTCCAGAAACACCAGGTGGTGCGACATGCTTGAGGAATGAGAGACCCGCAGAGACGTATTCGACGGGGAAGCTCTCACCGTAACCCTCAGGTCTCCCTGACCATGAACCGAAGTAGCCCTCCGAGAACCAGAGGAGCTAGAGCGGGGCACGGCAAGCGGGATACCCCCCCCGTTTAATGAGGAGGTATCTAGACCACAAACGTCACGATGGTCATGTTCCTGCACTGAAAACATGACTCGTCCATGAGCGCTGCTTCAGCGTGCTGTAAGCCCAGGCACGAGAGGCAGCGATCATGACCATCAGATGGAGGCAGGAAACGACCACATCCAGAAACACACGAGCGGGAAGCCATCTTTAAAAAGACGCCTGTCGCTCGTGAAGCTCTTTTAGAAATTGCTCTTTTAGAAGGAAACACGCTCTTTTAGAGAGAGCGCTGAAGCACCCAGGGAACGTTGCGGCGAGACCGCAGAATGGAAGCTGCAGCCCGCCGAGGTTTCAGCAGCCTGGATGGCAACCCCCGCTGATACGCCGACACAAACCCACGCTGTTTCTGTAGAACACTCGCGGAGATTCATCCTGTAGAAGGCTCGGCTCCGAAGCGAAAAGCTGATGTGCGTTTGCACGCGCTCTCTTTTTATACCTGCGCTGCGGGGCGGGGTGCGCGTGACGAAACACGCACGCCAACTGTCATTGGCTTGTTTAGTTAACACTCGAAGGTGATTGGGCTCTCGGGCGAGATCCCAATTCGTCAGTCACGACTGACTTAACGTCGAACGTGACTGACTGAAAGGGAACCTCATATACAGTCCTCAAGTGTATTGTCAAAACTTAAAAAAGAATTCCAGCTATTGGATATGTGGAGAATAAAACACCCTAATGATAGACAGTATACATGGATTAAGGCTTTTAATAATAGAGTTAGTGCTGCCCGACTAGATAGATTTTATGTGTCTAAATATTTTAATAGTAGAGTAATTGAGTGTTACATTTGTCCTGTAGGTTTTTCTGGTCATCATCTAATTATTATGACAATGACCATATCAAATGTACCTAGAAAATCGGTTTACTGGCATTTTAATGTTAAATTGCTCCAGGATGCTGCTTTTTGTGATAATTTTGGTTTCTTTTGGGAAAATTGGAAAAAGAAAAAAAGTTATTTTGAAAACTTAAAACAGTGGTGGGATGTAGGCAAGACTCAAATAAAAACTTTTTGTCAACAGTATTCAGCCAACTGTAGTAGTAGAATAAAGAATGTGATTGAATCACTTGAAAAGCAAATTAATTCAATGGAATTGCAGATGGTTGATGCACATAATTCTGTACTGTATAATGATTTACAAAATAAAAAGAGAGAGCTAAGTCTAGTCTTAAATGAGAAAGTAAAGGGAGCTTTGATAAGGTCCCGTTTCATGTCTTTAGCAGAAATGGATGCACCAACTTCTTTTTTTTTAACCTGGAATATAAGGTGGCTCAACAAAAACAAATGCCATGTCTTAAACTCCCTGATGGGAGGATAACGTATAAGACTATTGAAATGAGAAACCATGCTGTGGAGTTTTATTCAAGTCTTTATGCTGCAGAGAACTGTGAAAATGATGAATGGATGACACAGCTTCTTCAAGGTCCTCCTCAGCTGGACTCTGATTCTAAAACTGTCTTGGATGCTAGTATAACATTTAAGGAAATTACTGCTGCTGTGGGACAACTTGGTTCAGGACGGTCCCCTGGAGTAGATGGACTGCCGGCAGATTTTTATAAAAGGTTTTGGAATTGCATTGGACACGATTATTTTGATGTTTTATGTGAGTCTATAAGAGATGGCGTTTTACCTACTACTTGTCAATATGCTGTTTTATCATTATTGCCAAAAAAGGGGGATTTAGCCTTTTTAAAGAACTGGCGTCCTGGTGCCCTTCTTACAACAGAATGTAAAATATTTTCAAAATGTCTGACAAATAGATTAATAAATTACTTGGGTTTGGTTGTACATAAGGATCAATCGTATTGCATTCCAAAGAGGTCTATTATGGATAATTTGTTTTTAGTGCGAGACATTGTAGATATTTGTAATGGTTTCAATGTGGATGTTGGATTAATTACCCTGGATCAAGAGAAGGCTTTTGATCGTGTTGATCACAAGTATCTTTTTAATGTATTGAAGGTGTTTGGTTTTGGTGAAACTTTTTTAAATTTGATACAGTTATTATATAATGGTGCATCATGTATGGTTAAGGTAGGGGGCACTTTGAGTCGGCCAATTTCTATTCTAAGGGGTATTAGGCAAGGCTGTCCTTTGTCTGTTCAGCTATATAGTTTAGCAATTGAGGCGCTGCTTCGTAAACTTCGAGAAAAGTTGTCAGGTTTTAAAGTGCTTGGTTTTTCTTTAGACTCTCTATTTTTCTCTCTGCTTATGCTGATGACATCACAGCTTTTGTAAATCATACTCAAGATATTAAGTGTTTATCTGAGGTATTCAGTCTTTATGAGAAAGCTTCATCAGCTAAAGTGAACTGGGCTAAAAGTGAAGCTTTTTGGGCTGGTAAAGGGGAATTTGAGAGTCTCCCAAAGTTACCTGGGGACCTTAAGTGGGGTAAGGAGGGACTTAAATTGTTGGGAGTTTTTTTGGGGTCGAATGATATTCAAAAGCTAAATTGGGAGGGTATAGTGGAGAAAGTGTGCAGCAAGTTGTCTAAATGGAAATGGTTGCTACCTTAGTTGTCCTATAGGGGAAGGATTTTAGTGACCAATAATTTGGTCGCTTCTACTTTGTGGCATAAAATAACTGTGTTGCAACCACCTGCTGGACTTATTGAGGAAATTCAAAGAAAACTTGTGACTTTTTTTTGGTCTGGACAACACTGGATTCGTGCTGCTGCTTTATACCTTCCTGTTCAAGAGGGGGGTCAAGGATTGATAGACATCAGATCCAGAATTATGGCTTTCCGGTTACAAGCAGCTCAGAGACTGTTGTATCACACAGATGTATCATGGCTAAAGACAGCTTTTGCTCTTCTCAGGTGGGTCAAAAGTATGGGATTGGACAAACATTTGTTCTTAATGGAGCTCCAGAATGATGATCGTGTGAATCTTACATCTTTCTATAAGTCAGTTCTGGAGGCATGGAAAGTGTTTACCATTTCACGCTCATCAGATACACATGCTGGATTATGGCTTTTTGAAGAGCCACTTTTTCTTAATGATTTTCTACCTTCAAGACTTTTGTCTGGTCTCAGTCTGCGGGCATGTTTAACTGCTGCTGGATGCACAAAGTTGGGACATATTTTGAATACAAGCACAGAGGAACTGAGTAAAAGGACTGGGGTAAGATCCTTGCGGCTGCTGAAACAAGCTACTACTGAAATATTTAAGTCTTTGCATGTGGATTATAAGACTTTGACAAATGACTCGGAAGCAATTGATCAATGGAGAAAGGGGATTCATTATGTTTTCCCTTCTCTTAATGTAGCTATTGCTGCGGGAGAATGGCAAGATGATGGTAAGAGTCTTTTGTCTTTTAAAACACCTCAACTTGGAAAAAGCCCTCTATATTTCCTGTGTAAAAGCATCTAATGCTAATCTTTTGAGTGGACTTCCTTCAACAAAATGGACTGAATTTTTTGGAACTGTTTCTTCCCCTAGAGGCTGCTGGCGGTCCTTATACAAATGGCCAATTGATAAAAGAACAGGCGACCTTCAGTGGAGGATTGTACATGGGGCGATAGCCACAAACAGATACGTGGTGCACATTGATCCTTCCGTAGGTTGTCCCTTCTGTACAGAGGTTGAAAAGGTTTTTCATTTATTTGTACAGTGTACTCGGTTAAATGAATTTTCACTTTTATCTCAATGGTTTTTTGAAATTGGTGAAGCTTTCTCTTTTGAAATGTTTATTTATGGTCCAAAGTATACAGAAAAAATTAAAAGTCTGTTGATTTTATTGAATTTTTTGTCTGGCACCGCAAAACTTGCTATTTGGAAATCAATAAAAAATAAGTTGTCTGGACAGGGTTCTCTGGATGCGTTGAAGATTTTCAAAGGCTTGGTGGTAGCTCGGCTTAAAATTGAGCATGCCTATTATAAAATGATTAAATGTGTGGAATCTTTTATGTACATTTGGGGGATAAATTAGGTCCTTTGTACAGTAGATGATAATGATTTAATGCTTGCTTTTTGAAATGTTTTTATTAGCAGTATTTATTGTTGTTTTGTGAGTTTGTAATATTGTGAAACTTTATTGTTTTAAATAAAGGTGTATTTAAAATTCAAATTCTCTCGCGCTCTCTCTCTCACTCTCTCACATACACACACACGATGCGCAAAACTCCGCATTTGAACAGTCAATAGCAAATACTTAAAATAATAACAAAACAGTAGCTGATTCAGAAGCGCCAGATTGTCATAGCAAAGTCAGAATTACCTCCTCTCCTAGGTTTCATGAAACGGTCGTCCATAAAATGCATTGCTGTTCTGTTGTAAGTCGAAGGAAGCTTTACTTTGACAGTGGACGTGTGAGGAACGCGGACAGCTTTCTCGCAGTCTTGGAAGAGGGAAGGAATGGGCACCGGGATGCTCCACGGAGCAGGAGCCACTCCGAAACCATCCACTACCTGACCTGATGAAGGGAAATACATATTTAAACATACAATTTCATTTCATTATATACAAATATATGGTTTAGAATGACTTTACTCACCATTGTATGGTTCACTGTCCCATTCTGTTGTTCTGGACTCTGTAAAAGTCTCCAACCGGTACTGTTAGTAGAAACAGGCATCCAAGTTATATAAGTATGGCTGCCATAAGTAGCTGGATGTGCTGTATGTGAATGTTGCTGCTCACCCGATATGTGTTGAGGGACTGCAGGTCTGTGAACACCATCTCTTTGGCTGGTTTAGAGCTGTAACAGCATTTGCTGCTGGCATATTTTATGAAGGCCTCCTGAGCGAGTTCTTCAGTGATGGCAGGAATGCTGAGGACATGACATGTGAACTTCAGCTGGGTTTGAACAACGCTACGTTTTCTAAATACTCATGAATGAAACTGCGTGCATGCAAAAATGCATGAATGAATGAGTGAATGAACCGTTGTAGCAAATTAAATTCAGTGTGTTTAAAGAACAATATCATTACTTGAAGAATAAACATTAACTAAAGTAAAATAAAACACTTAAAACGTTGCCGAAGAAACATTTCTTATTTTTGTTTAGTTTAAGCTGAAGTACGAAACTTCAAAAACTGAAACTAAAACCTAATACAAACTAGACATATTTAAAAATAAAAATGACATAAAAATACAATAAAATGAATAAAGCATAAACAGAAAAAAATAAAACCTAAAACTAGTTATTTATATAACATATACTAAAATAACACTGATGTATATGCGGCACAAAATAAATGATAGACACAAAACAAAAAGATAGAAATGTATTTCTAAAAATGTGTTTTTTCATTTACAAATTTATTTATCCTTACATTTATTTATTTTTGTATTTATGTATTTATTTCCTCTTTTTTAAATGTATTATTACTATTATTTATCTATTTTAATTATTATTTCCATGTTTATTTCCTATTCCAATATGATAATGAGAGGGTTTGGTTAGTTTACCCCACTGGCTGATCGAGTTTATTTTTTCTTTTATCTGGTTAAGCTGCATTTAGATATGCTTGCACTATTAATTATGAGTCTATGTTGCAGAATACCTGACCAACCATGAGTCTAGTGTTCAATGACTCAGAAACAGGGTGGAGTTGAATAAATAAATCCAGAATCGCCTCATTCATGAATTCAAAACATGACAAGAAAACCAGTTTGGCAAAACAGGAAAAAAAAACAGGCTAAATAAATAAGACAAGGCTAGACAAAGGATAGGGATGATTATAGGTTATTCATCAGGGAAACTTGTAAAATGTCTTTCTATTTTCCACTTAATAAAGTATTTTAGTTCTAATATACCAGGACCATGCACTAGGTTTATAACTGATGCTCAGTCTATGTATTTTACCACTGAAATGGTTTAAACCGATTACATGAATTGTTTTGCTGGAGTTCTTACTCAAAGCGTCTCGCTGGAGCGCTGGATGGGGCTTGTGGTTGTGCCGATCCAAAATCTGATGGTGGAATAACTGTGGATGCAATAACAAAAAATCACTGTCACGTTCATTACCAACGTTTTACTCATTGTTTCAGCTGAAGCTACTGAAGCTCTTCTCACCATTAGGTCCCAAACGCTCATATCCAGGAACCACAGGCATCAAATCTGCAGGAGGAGCCGTGGCCCCATCATTTGGCACTGTGTTTGGATCTGAATAATGTATACATACATTTATTTCAACATACTATCTTCTCTTTTTTCAGCATGCTACGAGGATACAGTAGACGGGAAACATCTAAAATTGCTGACTGAAGCTTTTGCTTCAATGAGATGAACTATTTTAAAGTGCATTTCATAATCTGAGTCTCTTTCAGTCTGAGTATCCAAATATGTTACTTATATAGAGTTTAAAGTGAACTGCTGAAGGTGTTCAGTGATATTTGAGTACATCTCTTGGAAATAACGTACCTGCATAAGATCCAGCAGGACACGATGGACCAGGGTGAGCTTCATCCTGGTCACTATTACGAAAACAAAACAATTGATATTGCTATTAGCTTATTATTACACCACACCGCATGAATAAAGGTCGACACCACAAGTCCTTATTTAGCGACTGAAGGCTAAGTTCGTCCTCTTGTATCGCGATTTCCGAGGTTTAGAAGCGTTTGTGGTAGTTTTATAGAAATTACTGGCAATTTTCAGCAAAAAGCAGCATTTATGTTGTTTTTTTAGGGGGGTTCGCTTCATAATTGTGTTTATTTTGTCAAACTTACCTCAGCAAATGCGTCCTGTCCATCCCACTAGCGAGTTATGAACTTTCGTTTTGTGAGAAGGGTCACGGATCAAGAAAAAAACAGCAGTGTAGCCTGAGAAGATTTCATGCCAAAGTTCACATCACTAAATACATATTCACGCCATTACATTCTTTACGCTGTAGCCTATAATAGGCGGTTTACTTAGTTTAAAGGGGTCATCTGATGCTGCTAAAAAGAACATTATTTGGTGTATTTGGTGTAATGAAATGTGTTTATGCGGTTTAAAGTAAAAAAAAAACATTATTTTCCACATACTGTACATTGTTTCGCCTCTATGCCCCGCCTTTTTGAAACGCGTCGATTTTTACAAAACTCATCGGTCTGAAAAAGCGAGGTGTGCTGTGATTGGCCAGCTATCCAGTGCGTTGTGATTGGCCGAATACCTCAAGCGTGAGACGGAAATGTTACGCCCCTCACCATATTGTTGATGCCGTGTTCCAGCCAGAGCGACGAGACAAAAACATTAAAACCCATTATAAACGAGGCATTTGTTGCATCCAGTGGGGACATAATTACTGATTATAATGACTTAAACAGTTGCGTTGCATTGCGCCACGCCGCGTAAACATAAAACCCTGTCTGCATTTGTGATCAGAGAAATGACAAGTGCTACTCCACACTGCCCAAAACTCGCGTTTGAATCATCAGTGGCAAATCCTTTGAATTAAAACGTACATCCACAGCACTAAGTTGATGTATTCCCTCAGCGACCAGCACGGATCAGCTCTAGGCATGACGAAGCGATATCGTCCTCTTTTGGAAGACCAAACAAAGTAGTTTCGCTTTCACAACGAAACACACAGCGTCTTCACGACATGGCGGCAGCGGCAACAATACTACAGCGAGAATAAAAGTTACGCCTTCTTTCTTTGCCTGAACATTTGGGCGGCGTTATGCAAATCTTCCCACATAGTGAGGTAGACATGTGGGGGCGTGTTAGAACGAGCCGTTTTAGGGAGGTGTGGCTGACTCTTAACTTTTATAAAGAATATCTCTTTGGAATTGAGACTTTAGTCTTTGCAAATTTACAGATCTTCTTTATGCACCAAGAGTTTGTAACACTCCAAAGAGAAAGGAAAAAATGAAATTGCATCATATGACCCCTTTAATAATAATTTGCAAACTAAAACCTTTCAGTTGGAGAATGAGCAGATGTTTTGCATATAGCCTAGTGGTTTACAGATAACTTTGGATTATTCAAATTGAGGAATTTAAATGAGGAAGTCGCCTAGAGAAAATATATGATAGCCTCCCTGTTGAAAAAATCAGCATATGCTGGTTAGGTATGTTTTGACGCTGGAATGCTGGTTTATGCTGGTCCTTTTGCTGGTTTATGCTGGTCATGTGCTGGCAAAGGACCAGCTTAAACCAGCAAAGGACCAGCATAAACCAGCAAAGGACCAGCTTAAACCAGCAAAGGACCAGCATAAACCAGCAAAGGACCAGCTTAAACCAGCAAAGGACCAGCTTAAACCAGCAAAGGACTAGCTTCATAACATACCTAACCAGTATATGCTGTTTTTTTCAACAGGGCTAATTTTCAGGTTTTTGATGCCCTCCAGCATTTTTTGCATGAACCACCAAGGCAAGCATTGGTGGTTCAGTGGTAGAATTCTCGCTTGCCACGCGGGAGACCCGGGTCCCCCGCGTTGTGAAAGCGAAACTACTTTGTTTGGTCTTCCAAAAGAGGACGATATCGCTTCGTCATGCCTAGAGCTGATCCGTGCTGGTCGCTGAGGGAATACATCAATTTAGCAAAGACAATGGCTGCCCACTGCTCCGTGTGTGTGTGTGTGTGTGTGTGTTTGGATTTGCATGTGCTTTGAATGGGTTAAATGCAGAGCACTAATTCCAAGTATGGGTCACCATACTTGGCCACATGTCATGTTCACTTTTGTAGAACAAGCAGCAACTGTTAATATTTTAAGAACTCTATTAATTATTTAGCTTCAGTCACTTTTTGACAAATCAACATGTCATCCTAAATGTTATTGTTGCAGTCAATGATCCTCTGACAGGCTTCAAAATAACACTGTATAACTTTCTTGAAGCATGTGACAGCATTGTGCAATGATGGACATTTAAAACAACAGAACTCACATGACCTCATTACTTTTTTAATCTAGTGAGTTTTAATAATCTCAGATATAGTTTGCCCTTTTAGTGTTCAAACTCTTGAAATGAACAATCAAGTTTTAGTGCATTGCATCATGGGATATAATGTTCTGGCCAGTGTTGGGGAAAGTTACTTTTAAAAGTAATGCATTACAATATTGCGTTACTCCATAAAAAAGTAACTAATTACGTTACTTAGTTACTTTTTATGGAAAGTAATGCGTTATGTTACTTTTGCGTTACTTTTTAAATCTGGACAGGGCTTGCTTGTTTGTTTTTAAAATAAAAAAGTTCTATTTTTGGCAAATATAAAAGCCTTTTCACACCAAAAGTGAAATGAATAAGCCTCAGGCTGAAGGGAAAGTAAATTTGCGTCCGTACAATAGAGTGCAGAAGAAGAAATTTCAACACACTTCAGCAATAAAAAAAACACACACACAAATGTTTGTCTAGAGTCATTTTTGCTTATTAGTATGGTTGAACTGGATCATCAAAGGTCAGAAGCAAAGACATTGGTTAATAGAATGGGATTAAATACATAAAGGATATTTGTGTTGTTTAACATTTAATTATTGCAGGTTTGCATCATATTCTGATTATTATTTTTATTCATTTTGAGGAATACTGAATCTGTGTTTTTTTTTGTTTTTGTGAGTGAGATGAATTAATGCATATTCATATCTATTTTAGAACTACAGTAACATCTGATTTCTCTCAATATGGGGACAGGAGAGCTGTCAATCAGTAAATTGGAAAAAAAGTAACTTGCGTTACTTATTTGAAAAAGTATTGCGTTACCCCCAACACTGGTTCTGGCTGCATCCGAAAGCTCTAAAATGGTGCCTTCGGAGGCATCATTCCAAGGCAGGAAGGCACGTCCGAATCCAAATTCTGCTTCACTTCCTGTCTCCTGTACCTTCTTCTGATCGAATTTTGAAGGCAGCATAGATGTATCCTTCGCTGCCTTTGATATCCCACAATCCTGTGCGTTCCATTCCATGATGGTTGAGCTATAAAATAAAGATGGCATCTGAAAGTTGCGTTTGGTGGTCAGTTTGTGTGTAAATTTATATTTCTGACTAACCTTTTGCACTTTTGATGTTATTTCTAGCGAGAAATTTGTATTATAGTAATTAAATATTCGTTTAGTTATCACAAAAACTTGTTCTATTTTGTTGTAGATCATTAAACCGTTACGCTGCCTCAGAAGCCTGTCCAAAATCAGTTTCATGAGGTGCCTTCGTGCAAAAAATGCTGCCTGCAAAGTCATTGCCTCATACGGCAGCGAGGCAGTCAGCTGCCTAAACGTTTTCGGATGCAGCCGTAGTGTGCTCTGGCTATAAAGTGCGCAGTACATAAAGGCCCATTCACACCAATAATGATAAATATAACAATAAATATGACAATGGTAACTGTTAAATTTAAAGGCCTGTTCACGCCAAGGATGTTCACTTTATGAACAGTTTTTTCAAGCTGATATAGCCCACCATAAAAAAACATTGACAGCCAACCAGAATCCACCAGACTTTAATGAGCTTGAGCATTTAAAGTGCCAGACGACAAAACTGCACTAGTGTGCATTGGTGTGGATTCTAAAAAGCCTGTAGTTATCGTTATAGTTATTTTCATAGTTAGGAGCTCTACTGAGGAAGACATTTATTATTATTATTATTTTTTAATGCACTAATCGGGTTATGTTAACAAGAGGCTTTTTAGTGCCAAAAAAATAACAAGATTATTAAGAAATTTGTAAAAATTATTTATTAAAAATTATAATTAAAAAAACAATGTACAGCCTTAAAGGGGTCATCTGATGCTGCTAAAAAGAACATTATTTTGTGTATTTGGTGTAATGAAATGTGTTTATGAAGCCCCGGCTTAGCCTGAGCTGAGGCCGGGCTAGAGTGAGCAGAGGCGGGCTGAACTCCGCTTCGTCCACGGTGAAAGTTGATGTATTCCCTCAGCGACCAGCACGGATCAGCTCTAGGCATGAGGAAGCGGATATCGTCCTCTTTTGGAAGACCAAACAAAGTAGTTTCGCTTTCACAACGAAGCACACAGTGTCTTCACGACATGGCTGCAGCGTCAACAATACTACAGCGAGAATAAAAGTTAAGCCTTCTTTCTTTGCATGAACATTTGGGCGGCGTTATGCAAATATTCCCACATAGTGAGGTAGACATGTGTGAGCTTGTTAGAACAAGCCGTTTTAGGAGGGCATGGTTAACTCTTAACTTTTATAAAGAATATCTCTTTGGATTTGAGACTTTAGTCTTTGCAACTTTACAGATCTTCTTTATGCACTCCAAAATATGCTTGTAACACTCCAAAGAGAAAGGAAAAATTGAAATCGCATCATATGACCCCTTTAATATAGTAGGCTACATATGATCAAGAATGAAAAGCACCAATTATATATATATATATATATGAAAAATAAATAAACATTTAAAAACCGAGCTAGAACCAGTTTTTTTACAGTCTATGGGCAGAACGTGTTATTTGTTTACATCTTAGTAAAAATAAAGTACTCCTTTATTCATTTTATTTCATTTCTTCTTGCTGTATTAGTTAAGCCTATATATAATATGCAACGTACACAGTTTTTTTTTTTTTAAATAAACAAATACAGTTTCACACATGTTGTGGACGGGCACATTTCAGAGCAGGATCGAGTGACTTCCGCTGCCTGATATTATTTCCAGGGCGTCGCTGCGTCATTTCCTCCTCTTCTTCAGGACTGTCTTCGGTGGAGGCAGGTCCAACGGTAAGCGGAATAACATCTAAATTCATCCTTTTACACTGTGATTAAAATAAACTTTTCTCAGTCCATGGAGCTGCATTAGTGGTCACTCTATTTAAATGCGCTGATATTGTGGCGTGTGGAGCGAAAAAATAAGCGATGTTTATATAAACTATCGCACAGGGTTTACACGGCGGCCACTGGTGTGATACTGAAGACACAACATATATTAAATACCAATCCGCTTGCTTTAACATCACAAAAGATACCCTTTATACTAAAACTAGATGATTTAGGCTTTCAGACGCTTAATACAACATTTTGTGTTTAGTGCTAGTTGCATGTGTTTTGCTTGAAGCGCTAATAAACTAGATTTCTGCTGTAGTTTAAACGATAAAGGTTTGCGGTAGGCATATTTTTTATCGCATGATGTAATTTACTCGTTTTTTGTTGACAAGGTATTTGGACAAGAGTTTACCGCTGGCTAGCATTGCTCATGTACATGCTACATGTTAAAGTAGCCTGCTTTGGTGTAGGATGCAGGGCTGTCACTAACGACTATTTTTTATTTCGATTAATCTAAATGATTACTTTCCCACAAATATTTAACAATTTTAAAGAACATTTTATTAAACTTGCAACTTTGCCATTCAGTAGTGTACCATAAAGTTTAAATGTAAACACACCTAATAAAAATGAAATAAAAAGAAAATAATTACAAAAGTCTGAGAAAGCATGTTCTTAATGTCAATATATCCACATGTTCTGGGCTTCTGTTGATTGCAGCTGTGAGTGCAACTACAAAGGGGAAACAAATCTGCTTCAATTAACCACAACAGTTGGGTTTTCACATTAAATAAATGCAGTGTTTAGAGTCCACTAGAATCAAGTATTAAAATTGTATTAAAAGTTGTTATTAAACATTAAGTATTAAAAGTACTCTTAGAAATGTGTAAACAACAGGTTTAAACCAACATCTCCAGCATGATGAAAAAAAATTAACAGAGGGCTTCAGTAGTGAAACTCCAAATGAAATCCAAATTCCTATGAAATCCTTTAAAGCAAAAGTAAAGTGCAACAGAGTGCAAGAAGCAAGTGTCCATCTCACAGTCCAAATCACTGAAATCAAAGTTCAGTATTATAGTGTAAGAATGACAACATATCCACCTGTTCTGGTCTACTGATAATAAAATATTATAATTAATAATTAATTTTTGTGGTAATAAAAATAGATGTAAGCTAAGTGAACAATAGCCTTTAAATTGACTTAAAATACATATATAATAGCAATGAGGCAATGATAATTAGTTCAAATAAAGTATCAAAAGCAAGAAATATGGTTTTATTGAACAAAACTGTTAAAATCCTGTATTATAATGTAATAGAGCCACTGATCTATATATATAATTATAATATAATCTCTATTATAGATCAGTGAATAGTGCTAATGTACATTATGCATTACAACAAAGCCTGCAGGGGGCGCCAACGGCCTGACGATTGTTTTTACACATTACTGTACGATCTAATACTTGTTTAATATTGACCAAGCACCATTTAATTCAAATGTCCACTTAATCTTTAATATTTGTCCATTTATTTAGGACAGAGATGCTATAGCCACTGTAATTTAATGAATATGTGGTCTTCAAAACGTGTGAAAACTCAAGAGTGAGGGTTTGAGCTTTTATTTTGAAACCGTGAGATAATGCTGTGTCAGCAGCGCCAATCCACCGGTCACTCAAGTGCCCACACCCTTAATTATGCAGAACTTTAAGGCTTAATGTAATTTAAATGGAGGAGTTTGATCACAGTTGTCATGAAAGGCAAATATTAGCTATATATTAGCTATATAGACCAAAATCATGTTTTGAACCAGGCTGTAAACATGTTTTTTTTCTGCTGTAAAGTTGGGCATTTTAACATGGAGAGTCTATGGGACTGACTCCCTTTTGCAGCCAGCCGTTAGCGGCCAGTTGACGAATTAAAGCTTAAGTCACTTCCGTATTGGCTTCACGAGAGAGAGCGCGGGAGTAAAACCAAGTGTAATTTGTATTGTTTTTAGCTAAAATGCATTTGAATGTATTTAAAATAGCTACAGAGCTGGTATGTTGATGAAGTGCATGCTATAGATCTTGTGAAAAGTTTTCCATGCATATGTTTCATTTTGACCTAATGTCTAAAAGCATTAGTTTAATTAATTAACTTACATTTTTTATTTTTTTACTCAAATGTGTAGTAATTAGGAATATCTGGTTTTAGTTTGGTTTCATTGTGACTTCCAAGTTCTACAACATTTTGTGCTTTCAGCCACAAGTTGCCTTTTTATGAGTGCAGTGCATTATCAAAGTTGTTTTCCATAATTGCTAGACAAATCGTGGAAAGCCATTGATCAGAATGCACAAGTGTAGCAAGTTCTCAGATCTTCTTGGAGTGCGGTAGCATTTTGTATGGTTGTCAAATTCAACTACACTGCCCAAAACGTTTATTCATTTTAAGAGATCGGCTAAAGTAGTTCAATATTCTTTCCAACGGAGAACTCAAAGTTAATTTAGCCTTTATATTACATCCATGATCTAATATGAATGATCGCTCTGCAGAAAAACTGGAGGAAGCCCAGAGGTATTGACAACAGAGTGCGCAGGCGCTTCAAGGGTCAGATGTTGATGCCCAACATCGGTTATGGGAGTAACAAGAAGACCAAACACATGCTGCCCTCTGGATTCAGGAAGTTCTTGGTCCACAATGTCAAGGAACTTGAAGTCCTCATGATGAGCAACAAGTAAGATTGTTATATATTGCCACTATTATACCTAATGTAAGTGTGCTCAGATTACTATTTCATATAAATCCTTTGTATATTTGAATGTGGTGGTTCTTTGTGGTCTTAGTATTATGTAACTAGTTGATTATATTTGTTTAAAGTAGACTGGACTGTCTATATCTCTCTGATCATACCTGTTGAATTGCCCGTATTCATCTTAGGTGTTGAATTCAGAGAAATAGCATGGCGGAGGAAATACCCATTCCACCTCTAGCTCTTGCCATAGCCAGCAGGTGGAAGATAATCTGCAACAAGTGATTAGCGCTTGTATTTGGGTCTCCTCTTCTGAATAGAACTAGGTTGTGAAGTTTGTGTAAACGGATAACTTGAGTTTCAATGATGAATGCTGCATTTGCTTATTTAGTATTGTTTTCAAAACAAGAACGAGATAATCTTAAGGTTATTTTTTCTCTGTAGGTCCCATTGTGCAGAGATCGCCCACAATGTGTCTTCAAAGAACAGGAAGATCATTGTAGAGAGGGCCGCTCAGTTGGCCATTAAGGTCACAAACCCCAACGCCAGACTTCGCAGCGAGGAGAATGAATAATATGGTTTTCTTGTTGTCTTTTCAATAAAGTGAAAGTGTTAACTACTCTTGTGTTTTCGGTCTCATTTATAATGTAGATATGAGATTTGCAACCCTGTTCACTGCTCGCTTTGAATATCTCCATTCTATCGCACACCTGTTTCAGAGCTGGATCCAAAAGCTGAAAATGTCTCTGGGATAACAATCGCATCCTGTCTGCTGAGATATCTGACTGTTTTTGTTTGCTAATGTGTGTATTTTTATTAAACGTTTTCCACTTTTGTCATTTCCAGTGAGAAATTAGTATTGCAGTAATTAAATATTCTCTTGGTTGTCACCAAAGCATTCGGTTTTGTTGTAGATCGTTAAACTGTTATGCTGCCTCAGAAACTCGTTTGAAATCAGTTTTTGGATGTTCCTTTGTGTGCAAATGCTGCCTGAAAAGTCATTGCATGATAGGGTAGTAAAGCAACAAGTCGGCTCCTTAAATATGTCCTTGCAGCCCTGGGCGGCATTCGAAATCGCATGCACTTCTCCTGAGTAGGTACTTCACAGCCGTTCATAAATCCTCTCCTGTGGCCTGATGGGATATTAAAGTGTCATATGCATGCTTCAGAATTACGCCGGAAGAAGTTGGTCATTTTGGTACTTTTTGACTTCTTTTGTGGCCATTGTGGATTGGGACTTTTGTCACATGACATTTTTGCCCGTTGTATAGTAGGGAAGTATGCGATTTTGGATGCAGCCCAAGTCTTGGAAGACTACTAATGAGCTGATGACCTGAATCAGGTGTGTTTGAGACATTCAAAATGTGCACTGTTGGATGGGCTCCAGGAACGGGGTTGAAAAACCCTGGTCTAGTAGATGCTGATTATGTAATATGCTCCAAGCTTTAAAAGTATTTGTTTATTTTCACAACAAATCCATAGTCCATTGCAGGCTCTGCAAACATAACCAATTGCAGTTGCAAGTCCTAACTGGTGTCCATTGATTCTACAGCCCCTGTTAAGGGGTCTCCTTGAAGGCTCTCGAAGATGGTGGCCATCTCTGCATTGCTTCGGATCTGATTGGCAAACTCTGCCATAGCGGGACTCTTTTCCACCTCGCTGATGGACAGCAAGGCGGCGACTGCACGCATGGCAGAGCGCCTCAGCTCTTCCTGTTTCTCAAACTCTTGCTTCACTGAACCGGCTTTTACCTTTGTTATAAAAGTAGATTATTGTTTACTGAAGTATTAAGACAACCCATCTTTTTAACAAACTGTTGTCATGTTAAGCCTTACCTTTGTAGTGCAAGTAGCTTTTAGTGGTTCCACTAACCTGTCCAGCCTTTGTACCACAGCGGCTGGACACAGTTTAGAAAGTCTGGCAAGCATAATGAAGGTCAGCATCTGAAATACCAGAAACAGAAAATTCTTAAAGGGAATGAAGTGTGAAAAAATTATCTTTTTTCAATCCAATGTAATTGACATTTAAAGGAATACTCCACCCCAAAATGAAAATATCATTAATCACTTACCCCCATGTTGTTCCAAACCCGTAAAAGCTTAGTTCGTCTTCAGAACACAATTTAAGATATTTTGGATGAAAACCGGAAGGCTTGTGACTATCAAATTGACTGCCTAGTAAATTACACTGTTAAGGTCCAGAAAAGTATGAAAGACATAGTCAGAATAGTCCATCTGCCATCAGTGGTTCAACCGTAACGTTATGAAGCGACAAAAATACTTTTTGTACGCGAAGAAAACAAAAATAACGACTTTATTCAACAATTTGTCTCCGCATCACCGTAGCGCCATTTTGGAGAATATCCTCTGAACGCAAGCAGCGTATGCTCTTCTGTGTCAGCCGTGCTGCACGGTTGCGCTGTTTTCGTTCAAATCAAAGCGTAAATACATGTAGAAAACGTATCCTTGTGTCGCAGCTGCTTGCGTTCAGTGGTTATTCTCCAAAATGGCGCTACGGTGATGCGGAGACAAATTGTTGAATAAAGTCGTTATTTTTGTTTTCTTTGCGTACAAAAAGTATTCTCGTCGCTTCATAACGTTACGGTTGAACCACTGATGGCAGATGGACTATTCTGACTATGTCTTTCATACTTTTCTGGACCTTGACAGTGTAATTTACTTTGCAGTCAATGGGACAGTCACAAGCCTCCCGGTTTTCATCCAAAATATCTTAAATTGTGTTCCGAAGACGAACGAAGCTTTTACGGGTTTGGAACGACATGGGGGTAAGTGGTTAATGACAAAATTTTCATTTTGGGGTGGGGTATCCCTTTAAGCATAATGTAATCCATTCTACCATAACCTCACTGAAAATGCACTTACTTTAATGTCATAGTGATCTTTCAGGCCTTCTTCAACATGGTTCAGAAATTCAAAGATGTCCAAACAGTCCAGGCAGCTGTCCAGCAGGGTGTACATACATTCAAAAGCTGCCTTGCGGACGTCCAAACCATCATCTACTGTGTGCTTGAAGGGGCCCATCTCAACCTGAGATGTGATTAAACGTGCCATAATTTAAGTTTAATCAAATTTCACAAAGAATTTTAATTTCTTTTACTGTTTTTGTGTATCAGTGTTTCCAATATCTTTCTTGTGCTTTTAACGTTCATAATTTGTACCTCTCTGACAAGGTCTTTTCTGATTTGTGTCTCCTTGTATAGATGTGGGAGAAGTGATGTCAGAAGTCCACGGATCAGGGAGGGTTTGTTGTGGGCAGCTGAATTAAACATGACTAAAGCCACCCGCCGAACATTGAGGTCAGGATCCTGGAGTGTTTTCAGGAAGTCACCTAATAGCAGAATTACAAACTAGGCCATTAGTTAAAGGATTTAAAATAGTATCTATCATGCATTTACCTATATATAAGTAAAAACAAGCAAGTTACCAATGCACCCTTTGAGAAGTGAGTCTATGGGCATGGGGTGGTCTACAATGGTGAACTTCACTGCAGTTACAACTGTACTGCGAGAAAGCGGAGACCCTGGAAGAACAATAAATATTGTTTTCTGTTTAGATTTGTGCAGCCCAATTATGTATATCAAACACTTTGCGACATTTTAAGACTATGTTTGAAACTAGCCCATTATCAAGTGAGTAAATTCAAGATAACATTCAATCTCTTATTACCCGAGGACAGTTGTTTCTTTAGCCTTGGTAGGAATTCAGATGGACTGACCAATGTGAGTTTCCCCAAACATTCGGCTACAATATTGCGAGTGCCCTCCTCTGCGCATTCACAGTGCTTGAATAGCAAAGCCCAGATGTTCTCCACGTGAAGCTTGAGACTGTCGGCTGACAGAGCACTGATCATTTCTTTGAGCGAGTGTAGAAGCAGGTACTGTCTCTTCGGCTGGCTGCCGATCTCCTTGAGCATGAATGGCAGATACTCCCTCAAGTTTCCGACACAAATGTTTCCCAAAGCAAAATATGCAGCAGACTTGACTTCCTCATTTGGAGAACCGAAGGCTTCCATTATGACTCCCTTCAGTTCCTTCTGCCCTTCGAAGTTCATAAAACGTCCAATTTCTCCAAGGCACAGCAATGAGAGAATTCTCACCGGCTCGGATGATTTGGGGTTCTTAACCTCCTGGATAAGATTGGTGACCACTCCAGAAGCTTCTTTGGGACAGGCCATCGACAAGGCAGCTACACACTTGGCCACCGAGTAGTAGGACTGTTTATGCACGGACATTGAGTCAGTAGACTTGAAATCATAGAAAGGCCCCCTCAAGCCTTTCAGAAGGTCACCGTAACCCATATTGGTGGTCTTTGTTGCTACAAGAACCTGGAAGAACTCAAGTATTGAATTAAGAGCACCTCCTTGTAGCAGTGGAGAATGGACTAAATTTAGCACTTCAGGTAAGATCGTCCCCCCAATCTTGCTCAAAGAGGACGGGCAAACTTTGGCCATACAGGTGATCAGCGTTATGGCTACTTGTGAGATATGCATATCACGATCCTGAATCAAAGCAGGCACCTCACTCAGTATGGACTCTATCAAAGGCGGCTTGAAGCTGTCGCTGTAGTTTGTGACCATCACATTCAGGGCTGTTGTCGTGTTCAACTTAAGGGCCCGTTGGTTTTTCCGCAAGAAGGATCCAAGCATTGGAATCCCCTCTGTTAAAATGGGCCTTAAGTCGATTTTAAGTGGCGAGGAAGCGACAAGAGTCAAAGTCTTCACTGTGACAAGTCTGGTGATTTCATTTTTAAGCCTTTCCAGAAATATCTGCAAGGTGGGCTGCAGGTCACCACCAAGCTGGTCACCAAAATGACTCAAAATGTGGCCCATGCAGAAAATGGCCCGCTCTTTCACCTCTTGGTCTATGTCAGCCGCCCTCAACCTCTTTGAGGTGCAAGCGAACACATTCTTGATGTAAGGTTTGGCATCAAAAGAGACAGGCTTGTCCAGTGGCCGCATGAGTTTGACAATCTGCTGGGTGACTTGGAGGGCCTCCGATGTGATTTTATAAAATGGGTCTTCGACGCATTGGATCACTGGTGGTAAGATGACGCTAATGTGTGGTTGGAAGATCTCTGGCTTGTGGCTACTTAAGAGAACATTAAGAAAAGCAAGGGCATCAATCTTCATGTTTGAAGAGGTCGACTTGTCTGTCAAGGAGTAAATAATACCTAAAGAGAGACAGAGGCTTAAATGAATAGTTACACTAAAAATAATATGCCACAAAACTGGTTAAAAAGATAGTTCACCCAAAAATGAAAATTCTGTCATTAATTACTCACTCTCATGTTGTTCCAAACCTGTGAGACCTTCGTTCATCTTCGGAAAACAAATTAAGATATTTTTGATGAAATTTGAGAGCTTTCTGACCCTCCATAGACAGCATCGCAACTACCACGTTCAAGGCCTTGAAACGTAGTAAGGACATTGCTAAAGTAGTCCATGTGACATCAGTGGTTCAACCGTAATTTTATGTAGCTATGAGGATACTTTTTGTGCACAAAGAAAACAACAACAACAAAAAACAACTTGATTCAACAATTTCTTCTCCTCTGTGTCAGTCTTCGACGCATGTTCATGAGAGTACCAGTGTGCATTTCT